GCTTGAAAAAATCTTGAAAAAAGGGGGTTTATCAAGCAATGGTGAAACGGCAATTATACCATCAGATAGCGCAAGAAATTCTCTACAGGATGTGCTACTGAGAAGCAAGGCAGAATGAGTTTTTAATCAGCAGTGAATGTACAAAAAATAGGTGCACAAAACGCTGAGAACTTTCCGGACAACCTAATACATGGTTGAAAGTCTGTAGTAAGCAAGAGAGACCAGATGTTGGTAGATAATGACTGATGTTGAGCCATTTTCAACTCATTTTCCTACATTTTAATAAAAAAATAACTGCCACCATTTGGCACATTTAGCACACGCACGATTCTACCTCGCCCAAGGGAAGAGTGCCTGGCGAAGCCAGGTCGGCCCGGCGAAGCCGGGCCGTGAAACAGAAGGAGGAGCACCCGGCGGCAGCCGGGTGATCCGACTGGTTTCAAAAAATTCGTTACCGGGACAGAATTTTGAAGATTATTGCGATGCGGCATGCCGCTGCCACTCTGATATTGGACCGGTTTTCAAAGTTTCTAATGCTTTGCGATCCATCGGAAGAAGATCACACCTGTCTGAGTGTTCGCTCCCTTCTTCCAAATTTTTTTTTACAATTCTCGAGAAACCTAAGTTGTTCCCAAAGCATTAGAAACTTTGAAAACCGGTCCAATATCAGAGTGGCAGCGGCATGCCGCATCGCAATAATCTTCAAAATTCTGTCCCGGTAACGAATCTAATCAACAAACTTTATTTTTTAGAATAGCATTTCAAGGCGTACTTGATTTGAGCAAACAAAGTTTTCGCGTGCAATTTAAAATTATGTGTAAAACTATAAAAAACGCGCAACTTAGGCTTGTTCCAAGTTTTTTTTCCGCTACTGTAGCTCGATAACTATACTTCCCTAGGGCGCAGTGCTTCGCGAACCAGAAAAGCGCCCGAAAGTTAGGGGGAGGGAAGTGAATCAGATAAATTGCGAAGGGAAGAAAAGGCACCCATCGGTAGGGAATCTCTCTACATATAAACCAGAAGTTGTTTGTTTGTCTGTGCGTCTGTCTGACCGCCTGAAATTTGGGGTTTCGTGGAAATTCACTTCAAGGGAACTGATTGTGCTTGGGATAAACGCGGCATGGGCCAGCATTTGCAGAGCACACACAACCTCACCTAAGCTCCGCCACAATTGGCGGGCTTTC